AAACGGGGTATTACAGTTTTACTTCAGTATGAGTTTCTGCGGAGCACAGTGTTTTAGTGCTCACGCCCCCACGTATTTTATGTTTTTCAGCTCACAGAGTCGGGGACGAGGAGCGAGCTGACGAGCTGTTCAGGATATTTGTTTATATGTACATATTATGTTTTGGCTACACTAATGTTTCCGCTACAGTTTCAGTACTTTAAACCAGTTTTTGTCCGATATTAGTCGGTCAATATATTATATAATTGTTTTTATTATCAGTTTAAAATTAACGGTTTTCATAAAAGTCAAATATTTACGGTAACACTCCGAATCAGTTTTCGCAAAAAGAAATATTTTATTTATTTTATTTAGAAAACTGCGAAAAAGCGTACTCTGATTTCAGTAAATAGCGGGGTGTTACAATTGGTATCAGATCACGTTTCTGCGTCTCTGAAAAGTTTTATAAGTCAAAAATTTTTATAAAACCTGAACCGTCACGCTCACGCCTCGCCGACTACAGGTAAGTGCTGATTTATGTTTTTCAGTTATAAACATATTACTTTGTCTATGCTCAGAAATTTATAAATCATGACTTAGTTAAGATGCTCGAATCAGGTTCAGACCTTAGAATTCAGTGTACTCAGATATAACTCTAGATTTCCTCAGGATTCATGTCAGTAATTTTCCAGCCATATTTGGCAACTCGTCAAGAGATTTGTGTACTTTAGTAATCAGTTAAAGTATTTTTCATGTGTTCAATAATATTGAACTTCCTCAATGTTCAGATGTCGCCCCGTAGGGAACGCGATCACCCGGTTCTCCCTCAGGGCATAGTAGTCGCACAGTTTCGCGACTATCATGCTGAGAAATTCTCCGGGCAGGGAGATCCCCGTATCGTGGACGAGTGGATTCAGGGCCTTGAGTTGATCTTCGAGGTCATGGATTGTCCAGACAGATATCGTGTTATCTGCGCTCAGCTTCAGCTAACCGACGATGCCCGGCTCTGGTGGAATGCCTACTAGAGCATGCGTCCCGGCGAGAAGGAGGGTTGTACATGGGATAGGCTCAATGAGCTGATCCGCGAGAAGTACTACCCCACCTATTACAGAGTAGAGATGGAGCAGCAGTTCCTGTCACTCAAACAGGGTACTCGATCGGTTGACGAGTACGAGAGGGAGTTTACCCGACTTGCAGTTTTTGTTCCGGACCTGGTTCGTACGGAGGCACAGAGAGCACAGCGCTTTATTGACGGGCTTTACCCAGTAGTCCGTCACAACATTGTAGGTCACGGGACCCAGACGTATGCTCGTGCTATTTCGATTGCACAGGAGGTGGACGCCAGCATCAGGAGAGAGGCCAGCCGCGATCGTTCTCAGCCATCCGCCCCCGCCCAGTCATCCACAACTCCACCAGCCCTACCAGTTGTCCAGCCAACGAGGGAGAAGAAGAGGAAAGGGAAGGGCGCACAGACTGACAGGAGGACTTGCCAGAGGCAGCAGCAGGTTCTACAGTGCCCCACATGCGGACGTCTTCACCGAGGCGAGTGTCGCTTCGGCCAGGATATATGCTATTACTGTCACGAGCCCGGGCACTTTGCTAACCGTTGTCCTAAGAAAGCACAACTGCCCCAGCAGCCTCAGCAGCCACAGCAGCAGCAGCAGCCCCGTCAGCAGGCTCAGAGGCCACCCCAGCAGCAGCCGCAGAGGGGCAGACAGCAGGCCCGAGTTTACGCAGTCGATCAGGTCGAGGCCGAGCAGCAGCCAGGTACTATGTCAGGGATGATCATGTTAAATAAAGTTCATGTGTTCGCTTTATTCGATACTGGAGCGACGCACTCCTTTATTTCAGGACGATGTCTTGATGCCATTGGAGTTCATGCTATTACTGCTGTCGATCCTCTCGAGGTGAGTCTAGCCTCGGGACGAAAGATAGTGACTTCAGCTAGAGCCTCAGATCTCAGCCTTTCCATCGGTGGTCGTTCATTGTCTACCGACGCGTATGTTCTTGAGATGAGGGATTTTGACCTCATTATCGGGATGGATTGGCTATCCTTTTATCATGCAGATATCCGATGTCATGACCGGGAGATTACTCTCTATCTTCCAGAAGACGATCTGATTACTTTCTTTGTCACCCAGAATCGTTCATTACCTCATGTCGTTTCAATGGCGAAAGCTACCAAGTTGCTGTGACGAGGCAACTGTCAGGGTTATCTGGTGAGCCTTGCCGATGACTCTCAGAAAGCACGATCACCTCACGATGTTACAGTTGTTCGTGAGTTTGTGGACTTGTTCCCAGACGAGCTTCCAGGAGGACCGCCTAACCGGCAGGTGGAGTTCTCTATTGATCTTGTAACAGCCGCCGGTCCAGTATCCAAAGCCCCATACCATATGGCACCAAAGGAGTTGCAGGAGCTTAAGGCGCAGATTCAGGAGCTATTACGACTCGCTTTCATCCGACCGAGCGTGTCAACGTGGGGAGAACCCGTTCTCTTTGTCAAGAAGAAGGACGGATCCATGCGCATGTGTATCGACTACTGGGATCTTAACCGGTTGACGATTAAGAACAAGTATCCGCTTCCCAGGATCGACGACTTATTTGATCAGTTGAGGAGAGCCTGTGTGTTTTCAAAGATTGATTTGCGATCAGGCTGCCACTAGCTGAAGATAAAGGAGTCAGATATTGCTAAGACCGCTTTCAGGACTCGTTACGGCCATTACGAGTTCGTCGTCATGCCATTCGGCCTCAGTTTTGCTCCAGCGGTTTTTATGGACCTGATGAACTGTATTTTCCATCCTTACCTCGATCAGTTCGTTATTGTTTTCATTGACGATATTCTTATCTACTCGAAGAGCCAGAAGGAGCACGAGGAGCATCTGAGGGTAGTTCTCGAAACCCTCAGACGAGAAAAGTTGTATACAAAATTCTCCAAATGCGAGTTCTGGCTCCAGCGAGTAGCCTTTCTGGGTCATATGGTTACTCAGGCAGGTATCGAGGTGGATCCTTCCAAGGTCTCAGCTGTTCATAACTGGTCGACACCGAAGAGTCCGTCCGAGGTTCGCAGCTTTCTCCGTTTAGCTGGCTATTATCGCAGGTTTATCGAGGGCTTTTCCAAGATTGCCCTCCCATTATCCCAGCTGACGAGGAAGTCTGTGAAGTTCGAGTGGACTGATCGTTGTGAGTCGAGCTTTCAGGAGCTCAAGAAAAGATTAACTTCAGCCCCTGTGTTGACTATTCCTGATCCTTCTTGGAGTTTCACCATTTTCAGTGATGCTTCGAAGCAGGGTTTGGGGTGTGTACTCATGCAGGACGGCCAGGTCATTGCCTATGCTTCACGCCAGCTTAAGCCGCACGAACAGAACTATCCGACGCACGACTTGGAGTTAGCCGCAGTTGTTCATGCCCTCAATATTTGGCGACATTATCTTTACGACAGTCGTTGCGAGATTTTCACAGATCATAAGAGCCTGCAGTACATTTTCACACAGAAGGAGCTTAACATGAGACAGCACCGTTGGCTCGAGCTCGTCAAAGATTACGATTGCTCGATTCATTATCATCCGGGGAAGCCGAACGTCGTTGCCGACGCCCTAAGCCGAAAGGTGAGGGGTGACTTGACGTACGTTGTTACTCAGCAGAGTCCGTTGATTCAGGAGTTCGCCCGGATGCAGATTCAGGCGGTCGATGCACTTCCCACAGCTATTTCGGGGAGTGTCAATGCCAGTATCAGTGCCATGCAGATTCAGCCGACGCTGAGAGAGAGAATCCGGCGGGAGCAGGCTTCTGACGAGTTCGTTCGTGTCATGGATGCCAAAGTCCGCGCCGAAGGCGTCGAGGGTTTTCAGCGAGTTTCAGACGGTGCCTTAGAGTTCAGAGGCAGTATCGTGGTGCCGAAGGTCGAGGCGCTGCGGAAGGAGATATTGACCGAGGCTCATACCGCGCCATATCTAGCCCATCCCGGAAGCACGAAGATGTATCATGACCTGAAAGGGTCGTTCTGGTGGCGAAGGATGAATAAGGACGTTGCCGAGTTCGTCAGGAGATGTTTTACCTGTCAGCAAGTCAAAGCCGAACATCAGAGTCCGATCGGCCTCCTGCAACCATTGCCGATTCCGAGGTGGAAGTGGGAGAAAGTCACGATGGATTTCGTTACGGGATTACCGAGGTCATCTGAACATCACGATACTATTTGGGTCGTGGTCGACAGATTGACTAAGGTCGCTCATTTCTTACCCGTTTCGATGAAAATGTCTTTGGATAAGTTGGCTGAGATATATACCCGTGGGATCATTCGACTCCACGGAGTGCCCGTTACTATTGTATCAGACAGAGATCCTAGATTCGTCAGTAGATTCTGGCAGAGTTTACACGAGGCGATGGACACGAAGCTAGAGTTCAGTTCACCCTACCATCCGGAGACTGATGGTCAGTCCGAGCGGACCATTCAGACGCTTGAGGATATGCTTCGCGCTTTGGTTGTTGACAGGGGTGCTAAGTGGGAGTCGTTGTTGCCGTATGCTGAGTTCGCGTACAACAACAACTATCATTCTTCTATTCAGATGGCTCCTAACGAGGCACTTTACGATCGTAAGTGTCGTTCCCCTCTTTATTGGGACGACGTCGGAGAGCGACGAGTACTCGGTCCAAAGATGATCGAGGAGACAGCAGAGCAGGTCGAGTTGATTCGACAGAGACTTAAGACGGCTCAGAGTCGACAGAAATCTTCAGCCGATCATCATCGACGAGACATTCAATTCGAGGTTAGCGAGCCAGCTTTTCTTAGAGTTCGTCCTATTCGCGGAGTTGTTCGATTCGGGAAGAGAGGGAAGCTGCACCCTCGAATCATTGGCCCGTTCGAGGTGCTCGAGCGAGTAGGCGAAGTTGCATATCAATTAGCCTTACCTCCCGAGCTATCCGACATTCATAATGTCTTTCACGCATCTATGTTGCGTAAGTACGTGTGCGACCCCGATCATGTCATTCCTTATTCAGATATTCAGGTTCAGCCAGATTTATCGTACGAGGAGCGACCGGTAGCTGTACTGGACCGTCAGGT